ATTTTGTCTTAGGGACAGGAAGAGGAGGCAGAGGGTATGTTTTCCTGGGGCTGGGATGGGGGATGTTAGCCGTCTGGACGACATCATGAAAGGTAATGGGAGCAATCCTATTATCTGCCTCAGTGCAGGAGGCAACGATGTTGGCAGACGTTGGAGTGAAGACCTGATTAGCAGGTATAGGACAGTACTAGAGATAATTAGGAAGAAAGGTGGGAACCCTGTGATCTGTGGCATTTTGCCCAGGAGAGGAGTTGGAAATGAATGGTTGTCCAGGGCAATTGGTGTCAAACTGCTGGCTGGACAAACACTGTAAGGAAAATGCAGTGACATTCATAGACAACTGGGACCTCTTCTATGGCAGAAATGACATGTATGCCAGGGTTTGGGGTTTCACTTATCTAGGTTTGGGGTAGGAGCACTGGCTAACGCAGTGGAGGGAGCTGTTAGGTCTTTAAACTAGAAATAGATAGTGGTATGGGTTTTCGTGGAAAATCAAGGTATTCTGTGTGTAGCGACAGTGTGAGTTTTAAGAAAACCAGTTATAGGAAGAATGAGAAAGAATTATTGGTGAACATAGGAAAGACAATGGCATTAGGTGATAAGGAGAGTAACAGGCATAATGGAGGAACAGTAATCAGCAGGAAGAAAAAAGAGAAGGGAGGGTTTCTGAAAATATATTATACTAACAGTCGTAGTGCGAGAAATAAGATGGACGAATTGAGATTAGCTGCAAGTGCGGGTAACATTGATGCTTTTTCCATAACTGAGACGTGGTTTAATATGAAAAATAGGGACATGCCTGCTGAATCTCACATTCAGGGCTTTAAACTGTTCCAAGTAGACAGAAATATCGGAAAGGGGGGTGGGGTGGCACTCTATGTCCGAGATCATTTAAATTGTTGCATAAAAACTGGTATAAAGTCCGAAACACATACTGAGTCTGTTTGGGTAGAATTTTCAGAGGGGCATGAAAAATTTATTTTAGGTGTGATATACTGTCCCCCAAACTTGGATAGAGACCAAGGAAGACTACTGTGGGAGGAAATTGTTAAAGCCACAAGGCACGACAACGTTGTAATTCTAGGAGACTTTAACTTTAGTCAGACCGACTGGAATTTTTTGACAGGGAATTTAGAATCTAATGACTTTTTAGAAGTAGTGCAGGATTGTCTTTTGAAGCAGTTTGTGACAGAACCTACAAGGGGTAATAACCTGCTTGACTTGGTTCTGGCAATCAAGGAATCACTTGTTAATAATTTAGAAATTTCAGAGGAACTTGGCACAAGTGGCCACAAATCAATTACTTTTAGCACTGAATGGAAGTATGATATTAGGGATAACTCAGTAACAGTCCCAGATCTTCGCTTACCATATTACAATGGGCTTAGAGAACACTTATCATCTGTTGACTGGGGTAACGAAGAGAGCTATCAATACGAGAGTTTTCTAGACACTATACATGCTGCCCAGAGAACATTTATCCCGTATAAAGAAATTAGATCGAATAGAAATTACCCAAAATGGATGAATAACAGGCTCAAATATCTTTTAGGACGGAAAAAAAGAATTTATAGGCGCATCAAAAGAGGTGAGGGTCATCTTATGAATCATTATACTGACATTAAGAGGGACATTAAAAAGGGGATACGGAAAGCTAAACGGGACTATGAAATTAAAGTTGCTAGGGAATCGAAAACTAACCCGAAAAGTTTTTTCCAGGTATATAGAACAAAAGTTAGAGATAAGATAGGTCCCCTTAAAGATAGCTCTGGGCATCTTACTGGCAAGGAGAATGAAATGTGCTCTATTCTTAATAATTATTTTCTCTCAGTTGTCACTCAGGAGGACACTAACAATATCCCAGTAATAAATTTTTATAGTGGGCCTGAAGACGATAAATTATGCAATATCATAGTCACTAGCGAAATGGTTATCAAACAGATTGACAGACTGAAGCAAAATAAATCCCTGGGCCCTGATGAACTTTTTTTCTAAGGTTCTTAAGGAGTGTAAAATGGAACTCTGTGAACCATTGACTAATATTTTTAATATTTCTCTTGAAACAGGTGTAGTGTCTGATATGTGGAAGATGGCTAATGTAATTCCTATTTTTAAAGCAGGGAACAAGTCGTTGCCGCCAAATTACCGCCCAATAAGCCTAACCTCAATTGTATAAAAGGTGCAAAGATTTGCAGTAACCTAGTCCCTGAATTGAGAATTTACTACGAAGGGATACTGAAGGAAATGAACCTGGTGATTGTATACAAGGACAATGGGAGGAGGGAGAGCATATTTAGGAAGCACAAAATAACATTAACTGACAGAGTAGGCAGGGACGGACTGTTTGAAACGAGAAGACCTGAGAAAGGGGCAGAAAGATGGCATAAATCGGAGCTGAACTCGATACACAAATTCAAGAGTAGGTCAGAGGTCAGAAATCACCACGACCACGTAGCGCTCCAACCTGAAAATTTTGCTGCACCACCAGCATCGCTAATGTCAGTAGTACAACCAACACCACCAGTGACAGCAAGCACCACCATCACCAGTGGCAGCAAGCAGCAGCAGCACCAGTGACAGGAAGCAGCATCCCCACCAGTGGCAGCAAGCAGCAGCAGCACCAGTGACAGGAAGCAGCATCCCCACCAGTGGCAGCAAGCAGCAGCACCACCAGTGGCAGCAAGCAGCAGCACCGACAGCAAGCAGCACCAGTGACAGCAAGCACCAGCACCACCAGTGACAGCAAGCAGCAGCACCACCAGTGGCAGCAAGCAGCACCACCACCAGTGACAGCAAGCAGCACCACCACCAGTGGCAGGAAGCAGCAGCACCACCACCAGTGGCAGGAAGCAGCAGCACCACCAGTGGCAGCAAGCAGCACCACGAGTGACAGCAAGCATCCCCATCAGTGGCAGCAAGCAGCAGCACCACCAGTGGCAGCAAGCAGCAGCACCACCAGTGACAGCAAGCAGCACCACCAGTGACAGCAAGCAGTACCACCAGTGACAGCAAGCAGCACCACCACCAGTGACAGCAAGCAGCACCACCACCAGTGACAGCAAGCAGCACCACCAATGACAGCAAACAGCACCACCAATGACAGTAAACAGCACCACCAGTGGCATAAAACAGCACCAGCAGCACCTCCAGTGAGCAGATCACATGTAGGCCAACAAACAGGTGTTCAAAAATGTCACTACCAATATTAACAACAACAACTTCCTGAGGAGGCTTCAACGTGGAAGGTGCCAACCATCTCCCATCACCCGTCCTCCCTCCCTCTCTCTCTCTCTGCTCTCTCGCTCTCTCTCTCTCTCTCTCTCTCTCTCTCTCTCTCTCTCTCTCTCTCTCTCTCTCTTATTCCTACCTCCCATCACGCTCCCATTCTCACCCACGTTCCCTTCGTCCCTCCTCTTCCCCTCTCAGTTATAAACAAATATATACTAATTTACAAAACGTAAAAACCTTATAAAATTGGGATTAGCCTAATAAACGACAAAATAAAAACTGAAACAATAAAAGTTTTATTCAAAAACGTAGTGATAACCCAGATTTTTAATAAAAAAGCTAAAACTAATTTTTACATAGATTTTTCCTTTGCTTCAGTAGATTTTGAAATCACGATTATTTGGGTGTTGATTGCCGAGTTTATTGTATTAACCTGCTTAGTGCAAAAGGTATACCAGCAGACCAAAGCGCACAATACAACATGTATCAGAAATCTTCCCTATGAGGATAGACTGAGGGCCCTGAATCTGCACTCTCTCGAAAGGCGTAGAATTAGGGGTAATATGATCGAGGTGTATAAATGGAAAACAGGAATAAATAAAGGTGATGTAAATAGCGTGCTGAAAATTTCCAGCCAAGACAGGACTCGCAACAATGGTTTCAAGTTGGAAAAATTCAGATATTCAGGAAGGATATAGGAAAGTACTGGTTTGGTAACAGAGTTGTGGATGGGTGGAACAAACTCCCAAGTACAGTTATTCAGGCTAAAACGTTGTATAGTTTTAAAAATAGGTTAGATAAACATGAGTGGGTGTGGGTGGGCGTAAGTTGGACCTGACTAGCTTGTGCTGCTGGGTCTGGTGCCGTGCTCCTTCTTTGAGTGGAGGTGACCAGACTGGGTGGGTCATTAGGCTAATCCGGGGAAGAAATCTTTGGGCTTATCAGGAAGGGGACATGGACCTGCTCTGCATGGGTCAGCAGGCCTGTTGCAGTGTTCCTTCTTTCTTATATTTTTATGTTCTTATAACTCATGACGCAACGTAACACTACAGAACAACATAATAAAACAGGTGACGCAACATAACACCACAGAATAATATATCAAATATTATAATTGCGGTGAATGATAATCTTTTGAGACGTAGGGTATACAACACAATATAACACAACACACAAAACATAACACATGGCACAACATAAATACCACAGAACACAATATAACACAACATAAATACCACAGAACACAATATAACACAACATAAATACCACAGAACACAATATAACGCAACATAGACCAACATAACAAAAACTACGGTACGGGTGGGGTTTGAACCCTTAGCGAGTGAGTGGACTCACTCACCATGGGTTCAAATCCCACCCGTACTGTGGTTTGTTTGCAATCGCGTCGTTACGATTTCGTGAGTCATGATAAAACATAGACCAATATTAATTTTTTATATTCCTTGATTTCATATATATATATATATATATATATATATATTATATATATATATATATATATATATATATATATATATATATATATATACCACCTCTAGAACTGTCCTAGGGACCCTCATCCTCAGAGAAAAGAATAAACTTGCTTCAGGGAAAACTCAAGGTTCTCCCTGAAGCTGTTTTGAGAATTTTCTCCTACCACCCCTATATTTAATATATATTTTATTTAAAGACAAAATAAATTGACAAAACATTCACAAAGATACAATAGAAAGTAAAACAACATAGGTAACTCAGAGCTATATCTCGAATACTTCGTCCAGCTCCCCGGCGGTGGGCCGCGTGCCCAGAATGCTGCAGGCATTTCCTCTCTGGATCGCAACACTGAGTCTCTGAAAGAGAAAGCTGGTCGCCCTGTGGCCCTTGGTTTCTATGATGAGCTTTTCACCCAGCTCTTTGAGGAACTTTAGAACACACTTGCCCCATGCTCCAAGGGTCTCCGACCCTATTGGGATGAAGTTATAGCAAGGTGAAAGGTCTTCTGAAATATTTGCGGATCTTCTGGGTCTCCCTGTGGCTGGCCGCTCCACCCCCTTCCACTACGGAGTATGGCAAGTAGGTGTCTGCCAATGTGGCGGCACAGGTGTAGTCCCAGGCAATCTGCTTTCCATCCTTCCAAGGTAGCATAGTGGCTCCATCAGGACGCTTTTGACTTCCGTCAGACCTCTGCACTTGGGGTTCCCGTTGAGCTGGGCAATGGGCTGTGGCGAGGCTTCACTTTATGATGTCATTGACCTCCTCATGTCTGGCATACTTCCCTTCTGCTGTGTAACACACGAGACCATGTAGTCCGAATTGATCAGCTGTCGCCCTGCCGCAAATACACCTATGTTCGGTGAGGATGGGGGCGGCTAGGCGAAGAGCAACACCAATCCGAATGGCCTGTGGGTCTAGTCGAGTGCCCAAGGAGGAATTGGGAACAGCTAACAGGAAATCTCCTGAGTGTGGTGCCTTCACTGCCAGGAGACGAGCTTTGTCCTTTCCTGAGGCGTTGGAGAGCATTGTGTTGGCGATTTTTTCCATGATCGGTTTGTCCCAGTGGGACTGTTTGTGTTCTTTGGGAGGAGCTGGTCTACTGGAGAAATCTGTAAGGGTGTCCCACCGAATCGCTGCTTCAGTAAACCTGGGGTCTTGAGCTCCTACCACGTCTCTCAAGCGTTCGGGAACAATCTTCTTGACTAATGCACTGGAAACCAAACACAAAGACAGGAAAGCAGGTAAAGCAACATGCGTTGCTTTGCGCACCCCTATACCTGCCAGTCGCACTGGGAGGGTTGCCTGATTCCATTGCTGATCCTCTAGTGACAGGTTCAGTGCCTTCTTAAAGGTTGACCTCAGGTGTGCGTCATATTTGTCGAGCGTTGGGTTGTCAAAAGAGGATGCACACCTCAGGAAGTAAGTCTTGGCATAGTAAGGCACCTTGTGAGGAGATACAGAGCATCATGGGCATCAAGATCGCTTATTCTCTCCTCCATTCTCATCAGGTCATTCAATTTGTCCTTGAGGACAGTGTCGATGGCCTGGTGACCCAGCGGTGCTCCCAAGAGGGTACTGTTGGACGGAGTGGTAGAGACTTCTGGGAGGATTCTTCGCACAGCATTGATTATTTCCTGGTTCGCTGTGACGATTTCACACTTGGAGGGATTGAGGATGAGCCCCAAGTCTTCTCCCTGTGTTTTCACCAGTTGTAGGTCCCCTACCAGGGACTCTTCAGTACCTGCCAGAGTGCCATCATCCAGGTACCAGATGTTGAGCTTGCTGCGAAGGCAGGAAGTTAGTTCTCTTACTGACAAGCCGAGGAGAAGTGGAGCTAGTGGGTCACCCTCTGATGAGAGATTTTCATGTTCTCCAAACAAAAGAACTGAGGGTTTGCTGTAGCCGGCTGAAATGAAGGGAAAAAGACTGGGGAACCAATCCCGAACAGCTGGCAAGACAGCATCTCTCTTCACTATATTAAAGGCATTTCTAAAATCAAGTTTGACTACGGCCTTGTCTTCTGGTAGGTCCCTGATGTAGTCCCTTGCCGCATGAGCTGCGGCTTCACTGCCTTGAAGGACGCCAAAGCCCAGTTGGTGTGGCTGGAGTAAACTGGCAGCTTCTAGGCGAATGTTTCTTACTGCTGCTTTGGCAACGAGACGGCGAAGAGTGTTTCCAACGGCAATGGGTCTGTTCTCCCATCCTTCTTCTTCAACGCACATAGTGAGGCTCCAAAAAAGAAAGGTTTAATTTCTTCTGGGATTTGCCCAGCCAGGCAGTTGTTGACGAGTTAACTCAGTGAGAAGAATTAATGCAGATGCACCGAGTACTGGATTTACCATCTCTTTGAGGTGCTGAGGTCGAATTCCAGTGTAACCTCCTGCAGATCCTGCAGGAAATGACACGATCGCCTTATAGACTTCCGATTCTGGCAAAATTAATTGTTCAGTGATGGGGTCTTCCTTAGGGTTGTTGTTGATGGCTATGGTGTCCCTGGTTGGATGCTTGTCTCTTAGTGCTTGGGCCGTGGTCTCATCTTTGGGGGCTACAGCGTCGTCACTTGTAATTATTCTGATTGCTCCCACTGTGTTACCTTCTTCGATTTTTTGCTAACCTGTGCGCAAATTTTCTCGTTTTCAGTGGGACTTTTCTTGGGACTACCTCTGTGATTCCCGCGATGATGGGGCAGAGGGACACAATTATCCGTTCTTGGGTAGTTGCACACTGCCTTGATATCTGACGTGGTTAGCAGTTTGCCTCGTCTCTCACGAACTGCAAGACAGACATTGCCGAACAGGAGTAGGTTGCGCCATGCTTGGATGGTGCCGCCTCGGGCTTCTAAGTTGGTGGAACCTCTATTCATAAGAACATAACATCAGAACATAAGAAAGGAGGAACACTGCAGCAGGCCTGTTGGCCCATACTAGGCAGGTCCTTTACAATTCATCCCACTAACAAACATTTGACCAACCCAATTTTCAATGCTACCCATGAAACAAGCTCTGATGTGCAATCCCACTCAAATCCAACCCCTCCCACTCATGTACTTATCCAACCTAAATTTGAAACTACTCAAAGTCCTAGCCTTAATCACCCAACTAGGTAGACTGTTCCACTCATCAACTACCCTATTTCCAAACCAATACTTTCCTATGTCCTTTCTAAATCTAAACTTATCTAATTTAAATCCATTACTGCGGGTTCTCCCTTGGAGAGATATCCTCAAGACCTTGTTAATATCCCCTTTATTAATACCTGTCTTCCACTTATACACTTCGAATCAGGTCTCCCCTCATTCTTCGTCTAACAAGTGAAGGAACTTAAGAGTCTTCAATCTTTCATCATAAGGAAGATTTCTAATGCTATGTATTAATTTAGTCATCCTACGCTGAATGTTTTCTAACGAATTTATGTCCATTCTGTAACATGGAGACCAGAATTGAGCTGCATAATCTAGGTGAGGCCTTACTAATGATGTATAAAGCTGCAGTATGACCTCTGGATTTCTGTTGCTTACACTTCTTGATATAAATCCCAGTAATCTATTTGCCTTATTACGTACGCTTAGGCATTGCTGTCTTGGTTTAAGGTTGCTGCTTACCATAACCCCCAAGTCCTTTTCGCAATCTGTATAGCTAAGTTCTACATTATTTAACTTATAAGTGCTAGGGTTATGGACACTCCCGAGCTTCAGAACCTTGCATTTATCTACATTGAACTGCATCTGCCACTTTTCTGACCAAGGGTAGAGTTTGTCTAAATCCTCCTGAAGTTCCCTAACATCTACGTTTGAATCAATTATCCTACCTATCTTCGTGTCATCGGCGAATTTGCTCATATCACTAGTAATTCCTTCATCAAGATCACTGATATATATTATAAACAACAACGGGCCCAAGACTGATCCCTGTGGAACGCCACTTGTTACTGATCCCCACTCGGATTTAACCCCATTTATGGACACTCTCTGCTTCCTGTCTGTGAGCCATGATTTGATCCACGAGAGCACCCTTCCCCCAATGCCATGAGCTGCTACTTTCTTCAACAGTCTTTGGTGCGGAACTCTATCCTTACTAAAATCTAAGTAAATAATATCAAATTCTTTATCGTGGTCAACAGCCTCAAAAGCTTTACTGAAGAAAGTTAATAAATTAGTTAGACAAGACCGGCCTCTTGTGAATCCATGCTGAGTATCATTGATCAAGCTATGCTTATCGAGATGGCTTCTTATAATCTCAGCTATAATTGACTCTAGTAATTTGCCTACAATTGAGGTCAGGCTTATTGGGCGGTAATTTGACGGTAACGACTTGTCCCCTGTTTTAAAAATAGGAATTACATTAGCCATCTTCCACATATCAGACACTACACCTGTTTGAAGAGATAAATTAAAAATATTAGTTAATGGTTCACAGACTTCCATTTTGCATTCCTTTAGAACCCTTGAAAAAACCTCATCAGGACCCGGTGACTTATTTTGCTTCAGTCGGTCTATCTCCTTCACAACCATTTCACTAGTGACTGTGATGTTACATAATTTATCTTCTGGCCCACTATAAAAATTAATTACCGGAATATTATTAGTGTTTTCCTGTGTAAAAACCGAGAGAAAATAATTATTTAAAATGGAGCACATTTCATTCTCTTTGTCAGTAAGATGCCCATAGTTATTTTTAAGGGAACCTATCTTATCTCTGACTTTTGTTCTATATACCTGGAAAACACTTTTTGGGTTAGTTTTAGAATCCCTAGCAACTTTAATTTCATAGTCCCTTTTAGCTTTTCTTATCCCCTTTTTAATGTCCCTCTTAATGTCAATATACTGATTCATAAGATGACCCTCGCCTCTTTTGATACGCCTATAAATTCCTTTCTTATGCCTTAATAGATATTTGAGCCTATTATTCATCCATTTTATGTCATTTCTATTTGATCTAATTTCTTTATAAGGGATAAACGTTCTTTGAGCAGCATGTATAGTGTTCAGAAAACTGTCATATTGATAGCTCTCTTCGTTACCCCAGTCAACAGATGGTAAGTGTTCTCTAAGCCCATCGTAATCAGCTAAGCGAAAATCTGGGACTGTTACTGAGTTATCCCTACTATCATACTTCCATTCAATGCTAAATGTAATTGATTTGTGGTCGCTAGCACCCAGTTCCTCTGAAACTTCTAAATTATTAACAAGGGATTCATTGCTTGCCAGAACTAAGTCAAGCAGGTTATTACACCTTGTAGGTTCTGTCACAAACTGCTTCAAAAACAATCCTGAACTACTTCTAAGAAGTCGTATGATTCTAAATTCCCAGTCAAGAAATTCCAATCAATATGACTAAAGTTAAAGTCTCCTAGAATTACTACATTATCGTGCCTTGTGGCCCTAATAATTTCCTCCCATAGTAGTCTCCCCTGGTCCCTATCTAAATTTGGGGGACGGTATATCACACCTAAAATTAATTTTTCATGCCCCTCTGAAAATTCTATCCAAACAGACTCTGTATGTGTGTTAGGTAAGACACATATGCAACAGTTAGGTATCTTTATTATGAAACGTTTCGCCTACACAGTAGGCTTCTTCAGTCAAGTACAGAAAAGTTGATAGAAGCAGAAGATACTTGAAGACGATGTAATCAGTCCATCACCCTTAAAGTTTTGAGGTGGTCAGTCCCTCAGTCTGGAGAAGAGCATTGCTCCATAGTATGAAACAATATTGTTTCATACTATGGAACAATGCTCTTCTCCAGACTGAGGGACTGACCACCTCAAAACTTTAAGGGTGATGGACTGATTACATCGTCTTCAAGTATCTTCTGCTTCTATCAACTTTTCTGTACTTGACTGAAGAAGCCTACTGTGTAGGCGAAACGTTTCATAATAAAGATACCTAACTGTTGCATATGTGTCTTACCTAACAACCTGTCGGTATTTTATACCATTTTAATGTTCAATCAGACTCTGTATGTGTTACTTCAGACTTAATACCCGTTTTTATGCAACAGTTCAAGCGATCTCGGACATACAATGCCACCCCAACCCCCTTTCCGACACTTCTATCTACTTGGAACAATTTAAAACCCTGAATATGACATTCCGCAGGCATGTCCCGACTTTTTGAATTAAACCACGTCTCAGTAATGGCAAATACATCAATGTTACCTGCACTAGCAACTAGTCTCAACTCGTCCATCTTATTCCTAGCACTGCGACTATTTGTATAATAACTATTTAAAGACCCTCCTCTCTCTTTACCCTTCCTGCTCCTTTCTGTTATTCCATTAAACCTATTACTGTCCTTGTCAATTTGTGCCACTGGCTTTCCAATATCCACCTCATTTTGCCTATTACTAGTTCTACTAGTACTCGTATTACTACCCTGCGACTTCACAGTTTTCCCGCCAAAACCCATACCACTAACTATTCCTAGTTTAAAGACCTAACAGCTCCCTCCACTGCGTTGGCCAGTGCTCCCACCCCACACACATTAATATATATATATAATATATATATATATATATATATATATATATATATATATATATATATATAATATATATATATATATATATATATATATATGCAAAACAACCACTCTGAAAGAATAGAGAAATTCCAAGCGCTTTCGTGACTACTCACTTTATCAAGGAACTATGATAATGTGAGTATCCAAAGCGTTGGAATTTTCTATTCTTTCAGAGTGGTTTTTTGCATATTTTGAAATCACCTTTTTTACTGTGATCTTTTTTGCATATATATAATTAATATAAAAATATATATAATAATATATATAATATATAAATATATATATATATATATTTTTATATTTTTTTCAATAAGATCACAAAAAACAGGTGTTTTTCAAATATCAAAAAAACCCTCTGAAAAAAAAGAGAAATTCCAACGTTTTCGTGACTACTCAAAATTATAAAGGGAATATAAAATGAAGCACCCAAAGGAAGCTAATAAGGGGGGCCCGGGCCAGCACCTCACTACAAAATCCACAACGGTTAAACAGTACGGCGGCGAGCCAACTTGGATAAGTCCTTTGCAAAAACTCACCCCCAAGCTATTCTACCCAAGAAAATTTAAAAATTTTTTGTCCAGTGTATTTTTAAATTCTTCCCAAAATTCTTTTAAATTATAAATGATCAAATTTATATAAACTAAAAAAAAATTCTATTATTGTCAAAACGCTTTTTTATAAATAAGATTCAATTATTTTCCCTGTGACCATGGCTTGCTTGAACTACTTTCCAACTTTTTAAAAATCAATTGGAGGGTTTAAAATCTTTTAATGAATAAATAGAGCATTGGAATCTTGTCCAGTTCTAATGCTATATTTAGTTGTTTTAATCTATTTCGAGATTTTTACCAGTTTGACCGTAATAAACTTTATCGCAAATTTTACAAGGAATCTTAGACACATCCATCAGCTTTTTGGGGGGGAAAATTCTTTATCAAAAGTTTTTTTAACTGATCAAGTTTTTTAAATACAATTTAAAATTTAAAAAAGCAAGAAGAAAAGGGCATATAAACCAAGTTTTCATGGTAGGGAGAAACCCAACAAATTTTTAGTTGAATAAGGCTGGTTGCCCCTTTTTTGGTTTAAAAATGTTTCTAGAACTTAAAAGATTTATCAATTTCATTTTTTGGGGATTTAAATCTTACCTATTTCATAAATTTTGGAATTTCCTCATCTAGAACTAGGCTAAAATTCGTAAAGCTCTCAAAAACATTGTGAAAAACAGACAGTTTTTTACTTATCTTGAGCGAGGAAAAATAGTGGACTAGAACAGTTATTTGTGGTTTTCGAAATTTTTAAATTTGAAATTTATTTTACCCTAATAATTAAAACATCTAGAAAAAGGGAATGATTATTTTTCTTCAAACTCAAAAATAAAGTTTATAGAATGGGGGAAGCTATTTTAATTTTTCCAAAAAATGGGGTAATTACATTTTTGGGGATAAAACACAAAATACATCAACATATCTGAACCATTTAGCTCTATTGGGAGGATTGTGTTAAGCAACCTTGTTTCAAAAAATTCCATGTTAGTTACTAAAAACAGGTGAAAAGGATTTCCCCCTTTCCATACCAAAATTCTGAGGTAAAAATTATCATTAAATACAAATTTAAACTTTGCATTTTTTGATGCAAAATTTGTATTTAATGATAAGTTTTACACTCAGAAGTTTGGTATGGCAAGGGAAATCCTCTTTCACCTGTTCTTATTTAACCTATACATGGAATTTTTTGAAACAAGGTTGCTTAACACAATCCTCCCTAATGAGCTAAATGGTTCAATATGTTGAGATATTTTTTTGTCTTAGCCCAAAAAGTGAATACACCATTTTCTTGGAAAATTAAATAGCTTAGCCCATTCTATAAACTTTACTGTTGAGTTTGAAGAAAATAACTCATTGCCTTTTCT